TTTAATTGGGAAAAAAAAAATCTTTTGACTTTAAGTATTGCTGAAAAAAAAAATCAAAAATGCAATTGAAATTAAATATTTCAAATGGAAATAAGCTCCTGTTTGGGAAGATACTTCTGCACGACCCAAAGTCTAATAGAATAATTTAATTAAAAGCATTCAACCAACACAAACTCACTGCTAATGCCAGATGATTTGCTGATTACCTGGAACATGAAAACGTCAGTGATAAACCAGCTTTTGACATCTGCAGATGCACAAAGAGCATTTTCTTCAGCTCAGCTAAATAACTGGTTCATTCATTCGCTGGCAGAGAAGGCTAAAAAGACCTGGCCTCCTTTTCCAATCACTGAAAAAAGAACTAGATACCAAAAGCAGAGATCTATTAGATTAAAGTTATTGGACTCTTTTTTTAAAAAAAATCTTTAGGACTGCTCTATCCACCAGTAAAATCCAATTAGTTTTTACAGTTAATGAGGCTAGTGTTAAAGTTTAACAAAAAGATACCATCTTAATGCTAAAGCCTAATACTGAGGAAAACAATTTTATATATACACACACGTATATATATTTAGCTATAAAGCCTCGTTTAAAAGTTATAGCCTGTCTAAACTACATTTAGATTTTAAAATACCAGTCCCTTTATTTTTAAATCACGTGGACACTATCTGCACAGATAACACTAACTATCACTGTTTGCCAACATGACAAATGGTAAAGCTTCAGCATCTGGATGTTAGGCTACTAAATCACCCAAGCACGCATGTAAGACTTGTGATTGTCAAAAGTCCAAAAGCTGTATGTAAATGTAGCTGTCAGTTATCAATGAGAATAAACTTTTTTTAAAAAAAAGGCAAAATAGTAAAACCAGTTATTAAATCAGAATCTCTCCCTTCCCTCGATTTAAATCACAATTAAAATCCTGAATGAAATCAAGCTATCCTGTTTCACAACCTGAATCCTGGTTACAGATAGCTCTCTTTTTCAGAGCACGCAGCCTGCACACATCGATGAGCAGACTGAAAGGAGCAAGCATCACGGTACGTTTGATTGCATCTATCTGGACTGATCAGTTCAATCTTCAGAAGCATCCATGGGGAAGGGAGGGAGGTAGAATACATCTGGGAGGAATCAGAAAGGCTTTTTTTGTTTATCAGCAAAAATAAGTAATTCTACACTCCTCGTGTTTATTTTTCGATCATTGGTCGTGGTTATTTTCTTTCCTGATCTCCACTTAGCTTGCTACACTTCCTATTTTGAATGCCCAAAACAGGTATTTGAACAAAAGCCAAATTTCCAGACGTCTCTGCACGTACTGTACAAGATTTCCAATGGAAAACCAAAACTGACAGTTCAAGTAGTGTAACTGCCCAGCTGAAACTGAGCTGCTATCTTATTCTGCATAGTGGCCAGATGGGATGGGGAATCTTCTTGCAGGCTTCCACTCTGAGTTTTCACCCTCTTACCATCATGGATTTCTTTTCCCTCCTGTTTTACCTTCATGGATATCACGCTAGGATTTCTGTTAGGCTCACCTCCACACGGACAAAATGCAACCAAATGTTACTAACCGGGCGGGGACAGAACACAATGACGACTACAGTTAAGAGCAAAGCTGCTTTCACAGTAAGAACTTCCATTTAGGAATTAAATTTCTTTTATAACCTTCTGTACATCCTGCTAGAATGCATCCACTGAGGTTTTTTGCTTTAATCTTCAAACTTCCAAACAAGGAAAAGCCGCTGGCTGACCACGGGAGAAACAGAATCTCTTTAATTACTATCATAGCCTTTAATATCAGGAGCTACCTGGACAGACACAAAATATCAGCTGGAATTCAAGCACTGAAATACCACTCGCCAAGCTCTGCAACTACTTCAAGGAATCATCTGGGTAATGTCCTGTCAGGTGTGAAGCATGCATTCACCTGAAAAATAAAAATCTGAGCTTTCCCGTGGTTACCAAGCAACTGAGAGCAGAAAATACGAAGCTTTCAAAATAGAAAAGCAAACCACAGCCAAAATTAATTATTTAAAAGTCAATCCAGCTGGTTTGTCAGCCGCTCTCTAAAAGCCTTTCTTATAAGAGCTCCTGTTTAATCTCTGACCTCTTAAACAAATAAACAAAAGGCAATTTCTAAATAGGTGCTTTCTGCATGCACCCTGAAGATCTTCCCCAACCCCAAAAGCAGATCACTACTCTCTACTGATATCTAGGAAAAAGTTACAGTGAACTTAAATATGTATCAAGTCCTCTTTAGGAAAAGGTAAACTTTCTTTTACGAGCAACCATTGAAACAGCACTGCAAAGATAAAGGTAATTTATTGTTTGCTAGTCCAGGTCAATCAGCATGCAATGAACAGGCACAAGAACCGAGGGGTGGCACAAAAGATAGAGTTGTGCAAGTCGTTCATTAAATGCCACTTTTCTGCTAAAATACTTTGTTTTACAGACCTTAAACACCAAGACCATAAAATAGCTGTTGTCAGCTCTGAGAAGCTGTACAGATGCCTAGTTTATTACTTGTAGCACCAACTGCGTATTGTTGTTTGCTCAGCTCCGGGACTTTCTCCTACTGTTTTACAACCCGACCAATAAAAGCTATCTGTTAGTTACCTTATTGATTCCACGTCCTTATTTCCTGTAATACTCTTACTGCATTAGAAAATGGTGACTCACCTTAGGAATTATCACCATAAAAAATACACTTCTGTGATTCAGCATCAAACCTGGACCTGCCGATGAGCTACAACTGAAGGCCTAACCTCCTGAAGCACACCAAGGCGTGGGCCTAAGTGGATACCAGCTTCAGATGCCCAGTCCAGATCTTTACACACGTATCTAGTCTTACTTTTTGTATCACTCCTCCTGGCTTTTTCCAGTGAACGTCACGGACATTTCGCTGTCGGCGGATACCAGATCAGTCAGAAGCACGAGGACTGAAATTACACAGTTGGCTTTTCTCAATAGTCTATCAGCTGGCCCCATCTCAGCCTTCTCACACAATTCACTTCTTTCTCCTTGTGCAGCACGTTTAATAGCAGGAGCACAGCTGCCAGAATCACACACGCGTAAAAGCTGCCAGCACTCCCAATTTTCTCACAGTTGCATTCTAGCATGCAGGAATACACCTCCCAAACAGTTTCTAACTCCTCTGCTCAGAAGAGCTGTAACCATTTGAAATATTTTCAGCAAGGTCCTATAGGGTGGGGTTCAGGTCTGGTAATGCCAGGCAAAAATAGTGGCTTTTTGTGGTATTTCTGTTTTTTGTTTTGAAACTGTCTTTTTAATCCCTGCAACCATGAAATGTAATCCCAGATAATGCATCACTTGCAAAAACCTTCACAAATCGCTTGAGACCTGTTGTACACGGATACAAGATCTGGTTATTTCAAACAAGTACAAAAACCGTCCCTAGGGACGTACAGTCTCCCTGCTCTGTATCATCACTTTTTGGTAACTCACGCCCACCTCACAAGAGCAAAACCATACGAAATTAAGAACCATAAAAGACATCGTGTGACTGACTTATGCCCAGACAGCGCACATTGATTCATACCGATTCCTCTCGCATTTAAGTAAAACACTGAAATATCGAGCTATTGACTTTTATCTGCTTCCATCAAAACCTCAGTCATTTTTAATGAGGTTGCAAGTTTTTAGACTTCTCTGGCTCTTGCCTTCAGAATGCTCTCATCTGGACTGAGTCATATAGATCCCAGCATATATAATTTCTCCCTTTTTAAAGACAAGATCATAACATTCAAACCACCACCAGGGAAACCATAGATTCAGAATCATCTCTCCGATGACTACAGTCATATCCTCCTCCAACTCCTGTCTTACAGTCATGAAAAATCATAACCTAAGTAGACATTTCAGAAGGCATTGGCTTTTCAAAGCGTGCCACTTCTGAGGAAGCCCTCCTGTAATCACAGAAAGTTTCCAAAGAGCTCTGCTCTCAGGCCGAGCAGAAGCAAACAAAAAAAATGAAGCCTGGCAAAAAAAGGCTCTCTCTTTGTGTGAGGCAACACGCAACAAAAAGCCTTCACACATCTGATCCCAAAACTGAGAGAAGGAGATGTAAAACGTTCGGTTGGGCTCTGATAAGCTAAAATAACACCCCCAGAAGTAAAAATGAAGCAAAAAAAAAAACAAAAACAACAAAAAGAAGGGGGGTTTCTCCTGCAGCCTGGCCTCCTCGTGAGCATGCTGTGCAGCAGACACGCACCTCCAGACGGTGGCAAGGGTCTGCTCACCCACTGTGGGCTGCCAGGCAGGATCCTACGTCAGGAGCCGCCTCAGAGAGGGCTGCTGCCTCCATTTTCACTCCCTACCTGATGCTCGTTGTGCTGCCAACGCTGCCTGGGCGCTGGCCCCGCTGAGAGACGCCGCCTCACCTGGGTAACGTTATGCACAGCAGTACCTGGTACCTGGCACCCCTGAGCTCATATTTGGAGCCAGAACTGGGTCCTGTGCCTCACACCGCCCCTCTCACAGCCCCTCACACAGCCCCTTCTCCCACAGGCGAGGGGCGGGGTGGGGAGACCCCAACCCACCCCCTCACCGCCTTCCTCCCCTCGGGGCTACCCAGGCGAGGCCATGGGCGTGCAGGGGCGACCCCCACCACCACCCTGACCCCCTCTCCCTTCCTTCATCCCTCCTTCATCCCTCCTCCTCCTCAGCCCCTGGGGGCGCCCCCCGCCGCCCGTTACCCGCCGCCAACGGGCGCCTCACGCACCCCGGCGCTGCCGCGGGGGAGCCCTGCGGAGCCCCGCGCAGCCCCGGCCGTGCTTCATGGGCAGCGCCGAGCATGGCCTCTCCTCCTCCTCCTCCTCCTCCTCTTTTTTTCCTCCTCCTCCTCCTCCTCCTCCCACAATGCACCCCGGGCATCCACATTTGAAGCGACTTCCTCGCCCGGCAGCAGCCCCGCGGCTTCCCTTCCCTTCCCTTCCCTTCCCTCCCTCCCCTCCCCTCCATCCCATCCCGTCCCCACTCACATCCGTCGATCTCCTCCTGCAGGTCCTCCTGGAGCAGCGACAGATCTGCGGGGACACGCACACCATCAGCCCATACACACACACACACACAGCCTCCCTCCTTCCCTTCCTTCCCTCCCTCCCTCCCTCCCTCCCTCCGTGCCGACCCCACCCCGCAGCCCCCCGCACCCGCACGGGAGAGCAGAGGAGGAGGAGGAGGAGGAAGAGGAGGAGGAGGAGGAGGAGGAGGAAGGAGGAGGCGGCGGAAAGGGGGAGGGGGGCGCTCCCTACCCGCCATCTTGCTGCAGCCCCCGCGGGGCGCCGCGCTACATGGAAGGCAGCGGGGCTCGGCGGCGGCAGGAGGAGGAGGAGGAAGAGGAGGAGGAGGAAGGAGAAGAAGAAAAGGGGCGGCCCCGGCGCTCGGTCCGGGCCTCGGCGGCGTCTCCCCGCGTCCCCCGGAGAGCGTTGCGGGCGGGCGGGCGGAGGCAGGCGGCGGGGAGGAGGGGTCTGTGCCGGACACGCTGCCCCCGCCCGCCTCGCAGCCGGGCGGCCTCGCCGCGCTCCCCGCCCCTCGCCCTGCCTCACGCCCGGCCCTGCCCGCTCACCTGGGACGCCGCAGATCTCGCTCCCCAGGCCCTCTGAAGGGGTTGGGGTGGCCAAATCCCGGCTTTGGGGCTTCAGGGGGTCGCCTGGAGGGAAGGGTCGGTGCCGCAGAAGTGGCTGCTGCAGCCGCTGTGAGGTCACCCAGGGGGAATGTCCCCAGGAGGTGGCCGTGCTCACAGGCACCCTCCTCGGCTGCACTCCTGAGCAGCCCCCCTCGCTTAAAATCACACCAACTTCCCTACACTGCTGCTGTTTGACTTTATAAAAGTTCAGTTGCACGTACACGTAAAGGTATCCCTCATTTTCCACACTTGCTGGCTGTGCCTCGCAGTCAGTGCTGGCGCTACTTCCAGCTATTTGGATAGTTTTTGCACTGTACACGGGAAGCTGAAAATTGTTGGATAAAACAAACGCTCTAATTACTTAATACCCGCAACACTTGATACAGAAAAAACATTATAGATACCAGTGTTACCACGGAGTCTTATCCGTTCCCCAGTCTTATTTTTATCTCTGTAATAATCAGCGGTGTTGTTCCTGCACGAAAGAGCAAAATAAGTTATTTTTGTCCAGTTTTTCCAAATAGGATGAGGTTTTGGTTGCTCGGTTTTTAACTTAATGTTTGACAGCACGCCTCGCCTTGTAAGCTGTTTTTTAACATCTTAATGCTGCTTTCCCGTTTTTTTTTTTTTGTTTTTTTTTTTTTTTCTTTTTAAGTCACATAAGGAATAAATCACAAGAGTTTCTCCTTTTCTTTGCCATTGTGGCTGAAAATGTGCAATATATTAAAGTGCAAGCATCTCTTTCCATACACTCCTCTAGTACAAGCTCTGCCCTGTTTCATACACATTCAATCTTTAGAGAAATCACTCGGGCCTACTAGGTACTGATCATGCAACACTTGCTTTTATTCAGATATATGACCTCAAAATCTGAGTAAATCAAAGAAACCCACGATGACCATGTTACATGAACTGTGCTATTCTCTGCCAGAATAATCAAAGAGAAGATTCAGGGGAAATATTTGACAGCGCAAATAGCTAGTAATGCTGGATGTAATAGCAGTAGACCTAGAGCAAAAAAAACAGACCATGCTTGAAGACCAAATTTGTATTATCTCTTATTACTGCAAGTTATTTTCAAGGAGGTTTCTTTCCTCTCTGCTTCACATTCTTCACCACAGTCAAGGCTCAGTTTTGCATCCTCTGAAGTCAACAGCAGTAGCTCAAAATGTTACGTGCTTGGTTTTACTGAAAAAATCAAGGGCTTTGGTTTCTCTTTCCAGCTCTATAAAAAGGTGCTAATGCACACTAGGTCGCAGTGGTCTGAGCGCAGCAAAACTGACTTGACTAATATTACCAGAATGAGAAATCAAACTGAATGAGATACATATGCTGCAACTGGGTTTATAATTTGGAATACGTCGGAATTACTGCTCTTAAGAGTATATTAATAGTTTTAATCATCATCAGTGCACAATTTATGCAAGAAAGCAAGGTAAATGATTGCAAGAGATCATACTTAACATAAATTCCTATAAATTAATTTTGGTTCTTCCTATACGCATGTGATCTTCTCAAGCAGTGATTAGTGATTTTCTCCGTAGGCAGGAGTGTGTGGGATGTAAATAGCACAGATAACAAGGATCAGAGTGATTTAACCTTGCAAGACGAATTGCAACTGTGCAAGAATGGCATTTTTTTTTTTGGTACAAGTTAGCCCTAGAATATTAGACAGCTCCTCAGATGCTCTTGGTCCTGGTACCACTGCTAGCAGTCATGGGGAAAGGTCTCTTGTCTGTGAACAGAAACGCTGTGGCAAAACCTTTGGCTCATCTTTGGCTCATACAGTGACATGCACATGGAGAAAAATCACTTTGATTTAGCTTCAAGCTACTATGCAATGTAAAATCCCACTTAATGAATAAGTAACCAGATGTTTCTAAACTTCTCGGCCTCAGGAGACCTGTGAATTCCCTGGCACTCTTTAGGGGCCTGATCAAAGTTCAAGGCCATCATAAGATTGCCTGCCACAGGTCACAAAGCAGGCAGGCAGAGATGCTGGAAGTGTGTGACAAGCCCACTCTTTCCGACAGTGCTGAACTGCCATTCAAAAATAAGGTACCTAATTATACAAGAAATTGTTCGTAGCAGGCTTGTTTTATTAGACGAGACATGTTAAGGAACAAACTCTACAGCACCTGCCAAAATGTTCTAACAGATCTGTGCTGGAGTTCTCATAACCCAGCTGAGTACCTGTACAGGCACTGGAAAATACAGAATTTAAGAAATGGATAAACTCACGTTCACACACTGCATCTCATGGAAAAACACACTTATAAGGGACAGACGCCAAAGCTATGGATGCAAAGACACAGACGGAAAACTGCTTGGCAAGATTATTTGCATGGGACAGAAGACACCTGTATTGCTATCTGTATGAAGTATCTCATAAAAGCCCACAGCAATCAACGAGGCTTAGTAGTATTTGCATAAAGTACTGCATAAATATTTACAAACCTACACAAATGACCAAGCAAGATGCAAGATACCTCATATCCATCTAGACGTATTCCCAAAATGGTATCCTGTGCTTGGTCACCAACATTTCTTCAGTCAAAACTGCACCAGGGATATGGAGCTCAGGCTCAAAACCACCGCAGGCCCAAGCGCTCTCACAGAAAATAATTTATCTCCTCTCACTTGTTGTGAAGGAGCAAGTCACCATGTCTGACCAGGCTATAGTGCCAGCTTTCACTTTCCACATGTTAACCAGCTTTGCAATTCTCCCAGGCTACCCTTCCTGTGTGGGATGAGCTTCCCATAAATATCCGCAGAGCCATCTCGCGATCCTCCCCCAGACTCCTCTGCAAAGCTCTTTTCTTGTAAAGCCTACAAAAAATGTATTGGGGTTAGACTGCTGGTGCACTAAGACAAATGCTTATCCTCTTGAGTAATACTGACTCATAACTTTCTTGTCCACCCCCGGGATTCTGTCTGCACACATATGGCTTTTTGGTTAAGTTACACATTTTATAGACCATCTTTCTCTTCTTCGCATAGTGCGTAACCAAAACTGGCCCACGACTAAGTAGTCGGATTGAGATACATATACACGTATAAGCACATGGGTGCCTATAATATGAATGGGTCCACACCTGAAAACCTAATGGCTGAAGCCTCAGACACAGTTGATGTGCTCTTGAAAATGTGTCTCATTGAAGCATATTTGCTAAAAAGGGATGCTCGTCGTAACGCCTTTCCGTTCTTCTCCTTCCCGTTCTCCTTCCTTTTCTCCTTCCCTTCTCCTCCCCATTCCTGTGGCTTTTTGTTGTTGCCTTTTTTTTTTCTCCCTCCAATAAAAATCCTGAAGGTCTTGTGTTGTTATTATTGCAGTGTTCATGTCTTGTTTTCATTTGTTTATTTTTTTTTAATACATCCTTTTTGGATATGAAGGCTTTTGACTCTGCACCACTCAGTTTTATTTAATTTCACTCATTTCCAGAGCAAGAGCTGTACCTATGCAGGACTCTGCTGAGATACAGGACTTGAAGGTCCTAGCAGGCTTTTTAGTTTGACAACCATGAATTGATTAACATCTAAATTTGCTGACAGAGAGCTCAATTAATACAAAGTTAAGTTTACATTCTGGGTACTTCATGTCCCTCCAGGACAGTGACAAGTTCAGTGGCAAGTTCAAGTGATGCTCTAGCCTCTCTAAACTGGGGAATCCAAACTGAGGTATGTACCAATGCAACATTAAGACTGCACCTGGACATGGCAGAGGTTACTGGCTTGGATTTGCAAGCAAACCTGTTGCACCAAAGGCACAAGGGTGGCAGCTGTACTGTGTGTGGTCAAAAGAAAGAGAGGTATGCATGCAGGAAAGAGTCCAGACGCCTCATTTTACTGTTAAGACCACTACCAGTGGTGATATCCCCAAATCCTTTGGCAATAGGCACCGCATGAGGGTGGTCTGTGGGCTTTTTGTTGGGCAACTGAAAGTCCTTGTCTGTATCTGATCCTTTAGGTGCTCCCAGGGGCTGTGCCAGGGAGCTGGGGCCCTGAGAGCCACCTACATACAGGATTCCTCTTTCTGTATCACATACCTGGGCACAGGTTTTCCTTTAGCAGAGAGCCGTGCTGCTTCTCTGAGGAGCTCCGTTTCAGGAACCATGTGTCATGCATACAGTCGGTATGGAAGGCTGAATCACTGATCAAACAGGGCAGAGTTCAGTTTGCTCTGATGTATCTTAGCTCCGTATTTCCTGGTGCTCAGAGGTCTGCGGCTCGCCGACATACTGGAAGGAAACAAGACTGGACAATCAGAAACTCTGAATCTTTTCCTCAGTTGCCTGTTGAGATTTCTTTCTATTTTACTTAATTTTATTTATTTTATTTTTAACAGAGGGAAAAAAAGTCTGAATTTTGGCTGGCTGTTGGAAGAAACTCCAGCACCCACTCATATGTGCAGCTGGGATGCTATCGTAGTTAGACGCTGATATTCTCCCCTTTCTTCCTAGATCTCCAAATCCTTTTGAAAGGAAATAAATTCTTCTTATGGGTAAAGAAACAGAGAACAAAGGAAGCAAAGTGATGTGCTTAGTGCTGCTTATCAGGAAATAAGCAGTTTTCCTGAAGCAAGACATTTCCTGAGGTGGAAAATAGGGAATAAAATAAACCACAAAAAGACCTTTGCTATTTTTCACTATCTGATGTCACTCAATTCATGACAAGTATGAACCTAATGCGTGTCCCCTCTCTGAGTCGTATGCCAGGACAGCCCCTACACCCCTATCCATGTAAGACTTGCCCTTGATTCAGCCAGGCTTTCCAGCCTTTCCTCAGCCCACACAGTCTCCCTTCCCCACCCAACCAGTCCCTACCTGGCAGTACCCAACCTGATTTTCAGATGAATATATTTGCATTTGTTTACTCCTTCATTTCCTGGTCTACTGAGTTTAAATTTGCATCTCTCTGGGTCTGCCTGGATATTGGCACATATAACAGGCTCACACTCTTCTCCTGAATCAGCGGTGGGTTACTCAGATCCCAGAACACATCTCAGAGGGACAGATGGGACTGAACTATCGCTGTCACCAAACCTGCTTTTCCAACATTAGTTTCACACCCTTCCAGATAGTTTCTCCCTATGATCCTTTCTCTTCTCACTACAGCTCTGGCTCTGCCTGCCCTCTTGCTCCTCCATCCTGAACTCCTCTCAGCAAGCTTCTTTGTACAGCACTTTTCACCCTGTTCTCGTAAACAGTTTTTGAACCTTCTTACTGTTTTCTTGTCCTCACATTGCATTTCTCCAAAGTAGAATGGAAACAACCCCCAAATCCTGGCAAAAGCGGAGTCTGGCAACATGTCTGCAGCCTTTTTTTGGATTTCAATCGGCCTTAGGTCAGATTCAACAGTGACACTGTTTCACAACCCATGTGAGTACGAGCTGGCTGGAAATTTTCTTGGCCACCTTGTTCAGCCAACAACAGTGTCATCCGTTTAGTCAGGGAGAATTGGGTACATGCCTATGCAGGCAGCTAAGCACTTTTTTTTTGCTGATCTGAAGGGTGGTAGGTGCCAGTGGGATGCATGTCAGGAGCATGACTGGTCTGGGATATGACTTGTTATCCTGGCCTGTGCAATTGCTAGAACCTGTCAACGAGAAAAAATGCCAGGGGTGGAGAAGTCGAGGGGTTGTACCCTAAGAAGTCTTTGTTTAGATAACCTCGGCACTTGTAGGAAGCTTACTGAATTTCAGGGTCAGTTACACACATTTTTTGTAGACCCTTGGAGGAGTCAGTCTTTGGATGTGTTTATTTGCACAGTCTTTGACATTGTACCTGTGCTCCAACTCAATCATCAACCATGTAATTACCCTTCATGCAGCACTGACCCAGACATTTGTGTGGGCAGACAGTGGCCTGACACCAGGACACCTGTGAAAAAATACACAAAACACAGCACAGATCAATTCAGTGAAGAAATATTTGAGGTTGAAATTATTGTGCCTCTAAAAGCGGAGGCTGGGAATATTCTAAAAGACTTGATTTATGTCCTATTTCCAGTGTTACAAAATGTGTAGAGTCTACAGACGACGAGCAAGGACTGTATAACAGAGAAAACAATCACCAAAATCTACCCAAAATAAGGATGATGGCTCTTGACATATGCTGGGATCTAAGCAGAACTTCTCGGTTATTGAGGTGGGAGGGAACCCAAAGAATGAAGTGCTGTAATTGAAATAAATGTACACAAACCTAGAGAGGATACAAATAAACATTAAAAGATATATATATATATATACGAGGAAGGTGGTGATAACCTAAAAGCTATGAAAGCTGACAATATATGGGGCAAGATGGTTTGTAATACCAAGAATCAAAAGCTGAAAGAACTGTCTGGTCCAAAAATAGTTTTTTAGTTTTATTAAATTACTGAAGATGTGAAAGGGCAATTGCACTCCTACAGCAGATCCTGGCTAGGCTCATTGTCTCAATCATTTCAAAATCAACTTTTTGCCTTTGATATATGAATTACCATTTTATTTTTTTTACCGTCATACAGGGCTTGAACCACCAGGTGTCTGGTTGTGGTACACGTGTAAGCTGTAATATTTCTTAACTGTGGGAAGAGTTCAGGAACGTCAGGTACATTTTTTATCATCAGCACATTAAGAAGCTTTACATTACAGCATTTTGGCCTTTTCTTGGATTTGACTACTGGCAATGTTTCAGGTTCAAAGGTTTGTGTTTTAAATGAGATTTAATGTACGTAGACTGTAACATTGCCAATAATATCTTGAACTGGGTGTGTTTTATTGGGTGATTCATAAAGAAAGTTAGACAAAGTATGCACAGTGGTATTGGAATGTGGGTGGGATCAAAGTAACGTTTTAGTGGAATATGTTTGTTAAGCACAGCATACGGGAAATCTTCTTTCTGAATAAAGATGGATTGATCCCCTGAGAATATCAGTATATTTCCAAGGATCATTTATTCCAGTGAACCCCAATGAAAACATCAAAGTCACAAAGTAAAATAAGAGAGCTGCATCGTTCACCCTCAGATATTCCATTGGCAGTGAGACTTGTTGAGAGCAAAGGACAGGAAAATGAATAAAATGAATAAAAATAACATTGATTTAAAGGGACACTACCTGCAGTTCCAACACAGAAGAAATTTCTATCTGTTCTCTACCAGGGTGGATACAAGTTTTTTATTTGAATAAAATTTTGCTATTAATTGAGCATACACAAGCCCGCTGAGCTGGATTTGTTGTGATTGCACATTTGCATGCACATACCTCATGCTCTCTGCACTCTTCCTGTTCACATCTCTTTCCAGGCAGCACTTTGAAAACCACAGTGTTGATTTTGTTTCTGAGACTAAGGAGCCACTCATACTGAGCACAAGGAGCCCTAACACAGAGAAACTAAGTCCTACTTGGAGGGTTTCATACCAGTACAAATGATAAAGGTTTTCTAAGTTCAATTATTCAAAAACAAGATGCTATATTTATTATTATTTTTTTAAAGTCTGCTTAGTTATATTATCTTTCATTTTTCTGGCTCTTGATAAGAGAATTTTGTTGCCTTTCTTATACTGCTTGCTCAGCAGCAGGTACAGAGCATCCCTGCCTTCTCCACTCTGATGTGCTCCAAGGGCAAAATTGTCTCTGGAGGGTGGTTGTGCTCTCCCACAGCACTGTAGAGCTGAGGGCCATAGTGGTCCCACAAGCAGAGCTCCTTCCCTTTGATGCACACCCAGAGGATGGCAATGCACGTGCTATATACCATGTGGTATATATATACCGCATGTCAGGGGGATGGAGGAGATGGATTTTCTCATTGCTAACTGCACCAGTGCCATTTTTCAATGCCTTGGTATGGTTCAGTGGCTAAATGATGTTATTACTGTGGTCCTAACTGCTGCATGGGCAAAATCCATGCATTCGTGAGGTAGGACAGTTTACTGGAATAAAAGGAAAATCAGCGAAAGGACAGTTATAGATACCCTGTTTCATGAGGAAGAGCATTACAGAGGAGAGGTATCTTGCAGGGACCAGATTCTCACAAAATAGGGACGGAATGGGACACGGTCAGCTCTCTGCTATCAGGGGCTAAAAAAAAAGACAAGCCCTAATGCTAATGCTGGAAAAGATACAGTGTAGGAAACAGTGCAGGTACAATGTGTTCAGAGAGCTTTCTGCCTTTCACTCGGGAAGGCAGTCTGCTATTTTTCAAGACCAGTGTATAAGGAATTAATATTTCACAGATGCCGTCTAGTTCTCAAAATTTCCTATCAGCTGTGCTTTTTTTTTTTCTTATGGGCACGAGTGCTATTAACCCATAGGCTAATGGACCAGCTCTAAATAATATATTGCGTCCTCTCACTCAAATGTACTTTGAGATTTAAATGAGATTAAATATATAGGGAAGATTTTGGTTTGTGACTCAACTCAGTGACAAGGGGACGAAATCGAAGGCCGTGCTTGCTGTGGTGTCCTCCACCTGGACAGTACAAGCTGATCTGTACAGTTCTTGAAATTGTTGAGGCAGAAAACCTCAGGATATCTGGAACTTGAGGGTAAATGAAAAGCTCTTTCTCTTGCCAAGCTCTGCTTTATATGCATTACTTCTGATAACTTCTGGTAAGCAGACACAAAAGCAGACACGGTACAGCGTGCCAGTGCAAGTTAGAGGAGAGGCAGTGAAAATTTGGCTTATCTTGAAAAAAACAAGCTGTTAGACTTAGTTTGTTTCTTTGATCCAGAGATAAAGTTTTCATAAAGATAGAGCAGGGAGCAACACATGTGCTTTGAGATAGGCCTTAGGTGTTCTTATCCTCAAAAATATCAGCATCCTTTTTTCTTACACATTTAGCTCCTTAGGTCCCACTGACACAGCACATGCATATCAAGCATATTTTACTTCTTCCCTTGGGCTAGCTAAAGAAACCAGCCAGCCCTCCCTTTGTGCTTCCTTCTCAGGGTCACCAGGTCAAGAAACGGGTGTCCCCTCAGAGGGACACTTACGTCCTCACCCCCGTGTTGGAATAAATCAGATTTTATGAGCTTGTAGCCTCTATGGGATAACACACCTGTTTCGACACAAGTCTTTGCACCCACAGCGCGTAGTTCCTGCAGGACAAAGCCAGCTGTGAGTTCAATGTCCCCCCATCCTCTGCGCATATCTAGTGGGACCCATCTCCCTGGCTCCTCGGTGATTGCCACAGGCCTGGTTTCCTTTCTTTGCAGGC